AGGAAATTAATCCTCTGGGTGCATCGTGGGCTTTCGTAGCCTCCCCGTGTGCCAGGTTTGCCATCCCCGTGGTGGCACAGCTCCTCGCTGGGGCTTTGCAGCTGGTGTCTCCCGAAACACGCGGGCGCTTGCCTGTTTCAGCAGCTAATAATCCTACTAGTTAAAGCTTCTGGCTGTTTTTTGAAGCCTGTGGATTATTTAATGGGCCTTAATTAATCTCGTGTGGGCGCTGGAGCTTTCAGCGCTGTGGGAGCTTCGCCGCAGAGTTGTCCCCTTGGGTGTGGGGAAGGATTAACCTCCTGATGCTTCTGGACTGGAAGCAGCAGAGATTTGGGGTTTATTGCTTAAACGGGACATGTGCTGAGACCTCGGTGGAGGATGCTGGAGCGTTTCCATAACTGTGATGGGATCTGGGATGCAAAGCTTTCCCAGTGTTTGCCGCCACCTCTGCCGTGTGCTCTCACGCTTTGCAAAGTGGTTTTTTCGCTGTCATCATTTAAAGAAAAACCTTTTATTTCCTTCCCCCCCACCCCAAGAATCACTTGATGTGAAACCCAGCAGCCCCCAGGCCCTGCAGCCTCTCCCTGCGCGACAACGGGGCCGAGGGGGACGGTTCGGACCCCACGGGAACAGACAGTGGAGTTGGGTCCAGTGCCAGGAGTGATGCCAGGACCGAACCCCCCGCGGCGGATCCGCACCCGTGCTCCGGAGATGACGTCTTTTTCTTTTCCTTCTCAAACACGTGGCAGGTGCTCAGTTTTGCGCTTTCATTTCCGCCCAAGTCAGCCTGTTTATAAGAAAACGCAGCCTGCGCCGGGGGCGGCGGGTGCCTTTACTGTACGGATCGACTTTTTGTTTCAAAAAACACCTTTTGGACCATAACCATATCCTGTTTTGCTGGTGCCGCGCTCTGTCGCTCCAGGAGCTGGTGCGTGCGGTGGCACCGGCTCAGCCCCTTCTCGGGGTGCCCGGTGGGAGCCCGCGGGCACCTTTCCCCGCAGCCGAACGGGAGTGCCCGTGTCGTGCTGTCCCCCGGCGCGGGGTAAAAAGCGCGGGCCACCCCCCCCCCACCCCTGCCATAGTTGAGGCCACCAAAAATCAGGAGAGCTTGGAGCTGCGTGCCGAATCCCAAAGTTATTTTACAGTATAAGATAAAACTTTATTTTATATTTTTATCTTGGACCTGGGCACCAAAGCACAAAGCAGTTATAAAATTTTATCTTATACTGTAAAGCCTTATATTTTTACTTCATATTACTCTTATCTTACACTTACCTTTTTAATCTTATAAAAATTGGGAGTTTTCAGTTCATCTAAGCTCGTGTGTCATGACCTTGTACGAGATCCTTGGACAAAACCAGCTCTGGTCTTTCCAGTCTGTGCTGACCGTCTTTGCTGGAAATGACTGGTAAGAAGAGGTCGGTGTCTGCCCGCTCTGCACATGGCTGGGGATGTTCTGCTCAGTGATGACCCAGGGAAGGACCTGGGCTGGGTAGCAGAGAGCAGAGCGTGACTGCAAAGTGGGAGCAGGGCTCTTGCCCACAGCTCCCAGCATCAGTGGGCGCTGCTTTCACCAGGCCAGAGGCTAAAAAGCTTTGGATTTTCCTGCCCTGTCCACAGCAGGGAAATTTTCTTAAAAAAGCAAAAAACTCCCTTGTTAGGAGGAGCAGGACTGAGCGATGAGCGTGGCAGTTCCTGCTGGAAAGGGCTGACTGCGGCGCGGTTGAGGCTTTGGCTGTTTCTGGGAGGAGGGCTAACCCTTACAGTGCCAAATGCAGCCGTGGTGTCCCTGTGGGATTCCCAAAAAACCCTTTCCTCTGTGCCATGAACAGGACCCTGCAGCATGGGACAGACCGACGGACAGCCCTGGCTCTCGGGCACGGTGCTGTCGCGTTGAGCACTGGTGACTCGGGCTTTGCAGGGTGCTGCTGGCTGAGCCCGGGAATCAAAGGCTGGGACTGGGATCTGATGGAATCACAACTGTCTGGAAAAACACTTTTAGCCAAAAACCATCCGAGCTTGAGCCTCGCTGCCGGGTAGGGGCTGCGAGCTCTGCCCAGAGCGGCGGCTGAGCGGTTTTCCAGAGGCAAAGTCACTTTGCTGGGGCTGGGCTGGAAGCATGTGGTCGTGGAGGGAGGGGAAAAATGGTATTTTTAGCAAAGAGGAAAGCGATCTTCCCTCCTTTCTTGTGGTGCCCTGGAAAGCGTCGTGCATGAGATGTCTGCTTGGATTAATGAGGCTAAAGCGCAGCACTGGGGTTATTACTGGCTGCTTTTGCCATGTGAATACAAGGTTTAATGCCCACAGGGCATGGCTTTGAGAAAGAAATCTGGAAAAGCTCTTAATTCACCCAGCCCTGTCCTCCGTCCCCCGAGGCGTCAGCTCCCAGCCCCTCGCTCTCCCTTCTCTTCAACCTCAAGCTTCTCCCTTGTAAGAAGACAGCTCATACCTTGGCCTGGGCAAAGCAAACCCTCAAAGTGGCAGATTTTTACCTAAATCTTCTTAGGGACACTGTAGAGCCAGATGTCCCCCCCGCCCGCTCTGACCTGCTGCCCCCCACAACCCTCCCAGCTCTCGCATCCCTGCGCCGAGGACCAGCAGCATCCCTGTTTGTCTGTCCCTGCCTTGACATGGCATCAGCTGGCAGAGCTCTGCTGACCCCAGATCCCTGCGGTTTGGGTCCCAGCACCCAGCCAGGGTGGTGGTGGCAACGGGTCTCAGTGGGCTGTGATAAAACGGGAGGTGTCCCGTGGCCCCTGAAGGGCAGAAAGCGCCAGTCTGCACTGGAAAAGGATAATTCCACAGGGTAAAATCCAGCAAAATCCTTGCTATCCAGTGCACCTAACCCAGAAAGGGATTTTTCTGCTGTATTTCCAGGATGGAAATTGGAAATGATGTGGTGAGCCCGGGGGGCAGCCCCCGCGAGGGCGGCCACCGCGTCTCCGTGTGACAGATCAGTGAGAGTTTTTGTTTTGCTTTCTTTTTCCTGTTTTCTTTTTGGAAGGGGGAAGCTGCATTGCGAAAATTTCTGCAAAGCTGTGCAATTTGAAAATAAACCAGTAAAGTCCCACTGGTGACGGGTGCTACTGAGGATCCTGGGGCCAGTGCTGCCAGTGAGGTCGGAGCCACACCAGGGGCTTTGTGGTCAGGCAGCAGGACTTATAAATATCCAGCTGTGGTTGTTGAGGGTGCTGGATGCTCACCCCAGCTACTCAGGGTTGTAGCATTCCCGAAAGACACTCCTGGGCTAAAACCGTGCTCCCAGTGAAGATGCTGGTGATGTGACTTGCCCTGGCTGCGGCGGCTGCCCGGAGCCGGGTCGTGCCGTGGCATTGCCGAGGATTCCCTTGGGGCTGCTGGGTTTGTGTCTCTGGAGAAGCTTTTTTCAGCCCTGAAATCTCTTCCCCCTCCTCAAGCAAAGAAGGAAAACGTGTCGTTTTATTAATAATTTTCTTTTTTTGTGGGAGGAGGAGGAGATTTGGGGCAGAGGGAGCTGCAGGGCAGCGTATGCTTTACCCGTCCCTGGCACACCGTACGTGCCAAAGCAGATCCCTCCTGGTTGTCCAGGTCTCCCCTTGTTTCTCTAAGCCCAGCCTTGGCGAGGGGAAACCCCTGCACGAGTCGAGAACATGCATCCCGTCATCAGCAAAGCTGTTTCCTATCAAACCCCCTCTGCCTGCGTTTCCTTACAGAATTCCCGAGGGGTTTTTGGCATTGTGGTCCTCGATGCCTTAGCCCGTGAGGATGAAACCTCATAGCCCCTGTGCTGGCCGCTGTGCCCAGGGCCATGGTGGCAACGGGGCCTCTCTGAGCCCCAAACTGGGATGTCCCCCCTCCTCTGTAGGTTACTGTTGCTTCGAGAGCAGACGTGGTGCACAATGAGACTATTTACAAGCACTTAAAATAATACCCGTGGTGCCAAAATACGTGTCGAGATCGTTTTATTTCCTCCCGAGCTTGAAGGATGCTCTCAGGTCAGGTTTGTGACGTTTTCTCGGCACCCAGCAAGGGCTGGGACCTGTTCTGGTTTTTGAAGCAAAAGGAAGAGGCTCGGGTGACATCGTAATGTACGACCACAGCCTTGAGCAAAATTCCAAATAAGACATGTACTAAGGACACAAGAGATGGCAACACCAGCTACTGGTCCTCCCTTCTGCGGCTTGTCCCAGGTCTCTGCGAGCAGATAAGCCCTGGGAGACATCCTTCATCCTTCCTCCTCTTCACGCGTGGCGTGTCCAGTCACAATCTGTCTTCCAAGTGTTCATCCCTCACAATTAGCTGAGCATCCTGTAGCTCCCGGGAGCCCGGCAGACTCCCTCGCTCAGCTCTGGGTGCCTTTTTCAACAGCACGAGCTGACCCCAGTTTGTTTGAAAACTGCTTGTAACACTGACGTGGCTATAGGTTAATACTCTCTGCTCAATATATGTTGGTGAAGTTATAGTCTTGCGGTCCAAATTAGGCTTTATTAGATCCAGATGATTGATTTTGCAATGGAAAGAGGTTCAGTTTACACGGAGATAATTAACTGCCCTATCTAGAGCCTCACGCGGGCACCGTGGGTGCTGTAAGTCATCACGGGCCGCCCGTAGCTGTGGTTGGGGCTGAACCCGCCTGGTGCCACCTCCGAGCTGTGCCAAGGCTGAGCCGCCTGCTCGCTACTGGGGACTCAGGAGGGTTTTCAAAAATGACAAATACATAGAAACACTGAAACAACACAAGGAGAGGGACCCGAATGCGGCTGTGGTTCAGCGCGGGAGAAGCACTGGCACCAGCGACAGCCATTTCGGCTGGTTTAACAATATCACGGTGGAGGATGCTGGGATGCAAACAGTTTCCAGCAGCAACGATGCAACCAGCAAGTCGTTTTGCATCAAAACGTCCTTCTAGGTCAGATCCTGGCACCTGTTGCACGCAAGGGTAATTCAAGACGTATTTGGAGACCTAATGCAGTCTTCGCTCAAGCTATGAGAAGCACCTACACAGACAGAAGTGGCTCATTTCACGAGATGGACTCCAGCAGCAGCTCGTCGGGTGGCATGGCAGGGATTTCCATGCTCCCAAAGAGCTTGGGAAGAGACCAAAACTTAAAGCGCGGAAGATTTCTCTTCTTCGTACGAATGTTGCGGCCGGTTTCGGTGATGGAGAGCCTGCCCCCACGGTGGGTGAACCGGGCGCGCAGGGCGGCACAGCTGTGGCGCAGCAGCTGGTCCTGGAACTCGGAGGTCATGAAGTAGTAGAGGACCGGGTCCAGGCAGCAGTTGAGGCTGGCCAGGCAGAGGGAGATGGGGTGGAAGCGGAGCGTGCTCCTGTGGATGGCACAGTCCTGGATGATGTTCTCTATCACCATCATGAAGAAAGGGAAGTTGATGTGGTAGGGGGTGAAGCAGATGAAGAAGACGGCCGCGCACATCAGGACCATGCGCAAAGCCTTCTGCTTCTCGCTGGCGTTTTGCAGCTGCGTCGGACACTCCCGCAGGGACTGCCACATCTTCCAAGTGCAGCAGGCGATGATGCCGAAGGGGATGACGAACCCGAAGAGCTCCGCCACCGTCACCAGCGCGATGGAGGCTCCTGGGCTCAGCTGCTTGACCCCCAGGTCCGAGAAGCAAGCGTTGGTGCTGTTGGACAAGGCTGGGCTCCTCACCACCAGCAGGGGCAAGCACGCCGCTCCGACGAAGCGGTGGAGTGGGCCTATCGTCCCGCCGCTTCCAGTCCTTGGCTTTGAAGGGCTGATAGAGGAAGAAATACCGCTGGATGCTGATGCAGGTGAGGAAGCAAATGCTGGCGTACATGTTGAGGTACTTCAGGTAGAAGCACACCTGGCAAAGGAAGGTGCCGAACGGCCACGTGTGGTTTATGTAGTAGTACATCCGTAAGGGCAGCGAGAGGACGTGAGCCAGGTCGGCCACGGCCAGGTTGATCATGAAGATGACGGCTTTGCTCTTCTTGCTGATGAAGCGGCACAAGACCCAGAGGGCAGCGCTGTTGGCCAGGAGGCCGGGGATGAAGATGATGGTGTAAGTGGCGGCGTAGAGGGGGGGCTGGGAGGGACATTTGGGGGTCGGTGCAGTTCCCGGAGGACGCGTTGCTCTCCATCTCGGCTGAGTCTCTTTGCTCACGGGGTGATTAAGGCGGGTGGAGGGCTTCTGTAGGGAGGAAAAACAGATGCTGTAAAGCCAAAAACTTCCCGATGTTCCCCTACACGGTGTAAATGTGCTTCAGGATGGAAGAGTAAGCTGTGTGTAGGTGTGTGCGAGGCGGGGGGTGCTGGGAAGGGTGCAGAGCCAGACCCCTCGTACAGGCAGCAATCCCAGGCGGCTCCTTCCAGACGTGCTCTGCAGGATTTCATACCCTGCCACCCCCCAAGGCCATGCCACCATCCCAGTGACATTGCCACCGAGCTCCGCAGCATTAATCTTTTTATTGCCAATTCCAGAGAGCCTCTTCAGCTCCCCGGGTTTTTTTCAAGACCGCTTTTATCGCATGCGGTATTCTGTCAAACTCCCATCAAATTAGCGCTCTCTGATATGTCTACAAACAATTTAGGTGGGACCATAAATAAATAGGGAGTTTCAATGGGCCTGGACACTGTCTCTTCAGATCCGTGCAGTGGTCTGATGTGAACCGGCAGCGAGGGCACTAATTAGCATCAGCTTAACGATGGTGCTGGGAGGCAGCTGAGCGGAGCAGAGGCCGGTGGGAGAGGTGCAGACAGATCTATCAGAGCTCTGGCTCCAGATTTAAGGCTGGATTTATAAGGTAATAGCTGGCTGAGCACACGCCAGCTGCTCTGCCGGTCCCGCTAACTCAATTCCAGCACTCATGGCACATGGTGCCGGCAGCGTGTTGTAGCAACAGGCATTATCTTCCAGCAACAGTTCAGGACATGAAGGAAGATAAATACATCTGTCTTTTGATTAGAGCAGAAATTCTTTTCATCCGTTTACCCATTTCACCTCATCCAGCCAGCGCCGAGGGTTGGAGCGGGTCACTGGGAGTCAGCGGGCGCAGCTCTCCGCGGAGGTGACGGATTTCTGCCATCCATGAGCAGAGCCCGTGGGGAAACAGTCCGTTTTTTTGGGAAGAGGCGATTCGACAGCAGCAGGTTACAAACCGGGGGCCTGTAGCATCGTCTGCAACAAAACAGTGCCGTGTTCCTGTCGGGAACGGAGCCTGTAGCTGCCCGCGCGGGGCCAGGCAGCCCCC